TTTTGGAAAAAATATCTTAAAACACTTAAAAAAAAAAAAAAAAAAAAAAAAAAAAAAAAAAAAACCCACTTAAGTACAAGTAACTTTTTAGAAAGATATAGCAGAATTATTTGTTTGTAAACACAGTGGATGCGTGCGCAACTTGACTGATGGAAGAGGCCACTAAATGCTCACTGGTTGCCATGGTTAACTAGCATGTTAGACAGTGTACTAAACCGTTTATCACAGTGTAATAAAATAAGTTATTCTACCAAATTAGCATTAGTGAATGAGATGTGTCCTAATCACCCATAACCATTAAATGCAGGTGAGACAATCAATGACGAGAGAAAATTTCCCATTACTAGCAATTTTTTAGCAAGTTGATCACTGTAAGATCATCGGGTCTCAATGAAATATGTCCAGTCCCCCTAAAGACGACAAACATGGAGAAGGTGAGCAATAAGGGCACCAGAACAGGGTTTTCTGAAAATGTAAGTTTTTATAAGAAAAAAGAAAAACAAAAAAAAAAAAAAGAAAAAATGGGGGGAATCCAGATTTAGCGTGCAAAGGATAAATAAAATAAAATAATTTTGTTGTAGTTTGGTCACAATTAGAGGGAAAACGGAGATATAGTTGAATCCATCAAGGCAGCTGATAGCGAAGCCTTCAGAAATTAAAAATGCAGCGGGTTGAACGGAAGGTAGTGTGAGGTACAGAGACGATGAGCTAAAAATAAAAGAATCTGAAAACTGCAGACCCTGCAAAGCTGCATGTGGGAGTTGCGCTGAGTGAAGATAAAATATTTTATAGCCTAATTGTAAATAGTTTCAATAGTTAGAATGATGTATTCTTGCCTGCATTCCGAAGGCGACATGCACAGTAAAGTGGCTGCTGACAACTTAATGTTGACTGATAATCCCTCTATAGGAGCTTGCTTAAATAAAACATTTCTTAATATTGATGAGAAAACTACTAATAGCACTGTCAGATTATTTCACTTGTAACATGGGAAAATGTCTTGTTATAAGTGAAATAATCTGCCAGTGTAATTAGTACATTTTAAAATTATTAAGGAATGTTTTCCTTAAAATTACTTCCTGCATCTTGCTGAAAAGTTACTTGTAAGTTAGTTCATTTGAAATAAGACAAAGCTAAGACATGCACTAGAAACTAGACAAAATACTTGGTAAGACTTTGTGGTTTTGCAGTCCTGGAAGCATGCCTCTTAGTTGTAGTGGGAAAAATGTTTTGGAACCCTAGGAGGGACTGAGGTGGTAAATATTTGTCCCTACCAGGCCTCTTCAGGTGCCAACACCTCAGGCTTGGTGAAGAGATTGAGGCACTGCTCCAGGGTGAAATGTCCCGCTCTGGCCGTCTCGCTCATGGAGCTGGGGTCGTCCTCATACTCCAGCTCCTTAGAGCTGACCAGCACATACTCCTTCAGACGCTCGTTGTTCTTCCACACCAGCTCCAAGGTCGCATCATCTACCACGTCTGCGAGAGCATCCTCTGCAGAAAGCGTACGTGGGAAAATTAAAGCCAAGAAACAAAGTTGCATTTGAACTAAAATCCAATT